TGTTTGGCGCTCCCTCTCCACTTCTTCCTTATCTGGGGGGAGAGAGAGGTAGCGGGGTGAGTGGCAGCCCCGGTGGCGGGGGGCACGCCAGCCTGCCCGGGGGGTGCTCACCTTCCACCACGGGGTAGTAGGTGAACTGCTTGGAGTCGCTCACGTCGCCCCCCCGCTTCCGCTTCAGCTGCAGGAAGACGGTGACAGGACCGCCCCCCCCTGCCTGGGGGCATGGCAGGATGCCCCCCTGCCTCCCCCATACCTGCTTGTGCACATCAGTGGGGGAGAAGTCCCCAAAGGCCTGCCAGCCGTTCTCGTCATCCTCGTAGAAACGCACCTCAATGTCATCTGGGGAGAGAAGGGGCGCTGGCACCACTTGTCTCCCCGCCTCGGCCAGACTGCAGGGACACGGACCCCCGGCCACCCAGGGGCCCCAGATTTCTCCCACCACAGCCCCTCCAGAAGGTTTCGGCTGGAGGGAACAGGTTTTACCTTTCTGAACTTTATCACACAGCAAGTAGACCTCGTCCCCTCCCCGCACTGAGCCTGCTGTCTTATCCATCCGTGAGATCTTCAGGTTGGAAGCTCCTGGGGACTCTGCAAAGCGAGAAGAGACGCTGGGAGCTGCCGTGGCAGACAGAGCATCCCTCACCTCCTTACCCCGTCTTGCCCTGTCCCCTCCCCGGCCTGGTCCCATGCTCACTGCTGTCATGGATGGGGTCCGAGATGACGGGCTGGAGGGCTAGCGTGAAGTTCCCGCTGCTGTCACGGAGGTAGGCAGTGAAGCGCAACCGCACGATGCTCAGGTCCATCACTTTCTTCAGCTCCTTTGCCTCCAGCTCGATCTCACGCAGCTCCGCTTCTGCCGGGGCAGGGGTAGATGCCATCGTCAGGCTGGGCAAGGGGACAGGGCTCCAGGTCCCCCTACCCATCCCTCACCAGGACCCCTGTCACCCCACAGGGGATCCCTGCTCCCCCTGGGGCACCGAGTCCCACCGTGCCCCCAGGCTGCCCTCACCTGTCAGTAGATGGCTCCTGTTGCGCATCTTCTGCTGCTTCAGCTTTTCCTTCATGATCTCCATCATGTTCTTCTTGGTGACGTGGAGCACACCGAGGTTGCTGAACCTGGAGGAGAAGAGGGATCCCACTGGAATCTTGGGAGCGCCCTGGCTGGGAGCAGCCAGCCTTGGGGGGGCGCACAGGCTCCCGTGTGCTGAAGGGAAGGAGCTGAGCAAAGCAGAGAGTGGTGCCGCTCAGGGCAGAGGGGGCTCAACGTGTGCAGAGCAAAGAGGAGCAACTGCAGAAGGGAGGGAAGAAGCCCAGAAAAGAGGTGGCTGGGAAACTCCAGGCTCCCACAGGTGACTAGGCCAAAGCGGGGGACCAGGAGGGCTGTAGGCCAGAGGGATGCAGATGGGACCAGGCTGAGCCAGCAGCTGGGGCTGGATTTACAAGAGCTGCAAGAAACTTCATATGCAGCAGTGAAACGCATGCAGCTCCGGCCCCTCCTGTCCTGCTCCAATAAAAGACCCTGGGAAAACACCCTCTTCTCCAAACCAGGCTGCCGGGCCAGCAGTGCCAGGGCACACGGCCAACTGAGCAGCCAGGCGCTTGCCCGCTCACTG